CAGCTGGGAGACCCAGGTGAGAGGAAAAAAGAGAGGATGAGGATGGAGGGATGGCAGCTGGAGCTTGCCCTCCGTTTGCCGACTCCTTTATCAGCAGCTCCTCCAAACCTGGGCTGGCATCCCCTGCTGCTGGCACTGTCCTGGCCGAGGGGCCGTGCTCGTCCCTCCTGCAGTCATCCCTGTGACCCGCCCTGTGGCGTGCTTCCAGGACAGTCATCAGCTCCTAAAAATAACTGGGGAATAGCTGATGGTGTGGCTTCTGCCTGTGTGTTAGGGAGGCTGATCCAGCCAGGACTGCTCCCCTGTCCTGCTGCTCTCCCGAACAGGACGGGGAGGTCACGGCGCCTTGGCTTTGCTCCACAACCTCACTGCTGCCCTTGCTGGGCTGTCACAGCCGGTTTTTCTCCTCTGCTGTGAGTCCAGGCATTGACAGGGAAGCCAGCTCGTCCAGCACTGCTTGTGTTCCTCGCCTCTTGCGGTGTCAAATCTTTGCTTTGCTCGAGTCTCTGGATGAGCAGAGGTTATGGGTGTAACTGCACGTCAGAGGGAACAAACTCTTCCAGCTCTGTCTCACCCTCGAGGGGGAGTGAGGTGCTGGCGTTCAGTATCTTCAGTCCAAAGCACAGCCCTCTGATGCTGGATGCCAACAGCCTTAACTTTCTCCTACAGGAAAAAAAACCAACAGAATTCTGGAGTGGGAAATCCAAGAGATTGCTGGGTGTGCTGCAATGGTCCTCTGTTCATCTCGTCATCAGAGAACTGTGCTTGCAAATTGCTTTGCTGCATTCCTCCCTTCCCAGGTCTTTGGAGCTTGTTATAATTCAGGGCTTTGCTCTCTTCAGTGGCCTTTCCTGCAAGATGGTGCAAAGCCAAGTGATGCAGGTCTCCGAGGAGGACGTGGACCCTGCTGATTCAGCTGGGCTTATCCAGTGGGGAGGCCACAGCTGCCTCTGGGTCAGAGCCACCTCAAACAAAGCCCTGGCTGCTCAGGGCACCCCGTGGCAGGGACAAAAGGAGGTCTGGGCACCCTTTTGTGTTAAACAGCTGTTTTATTCCGGTCTTTAACTGGAGGGACCTGTGCTCCACGACCTTGTGTGTGGGTTGCAAATAGAGAGATGCCCTCCTTAGCACAGCACGTCCAGGTCTTTAATCAGGGACATCGGTGTCCATAACCTTGCTTGTAATAGCTCTCTGCAGTCACTGCTAAACATATCCAGCCCTGGGAGCAAATGATGGAGGAAGCATCTCCATCCCTGCTCGTGGAAAAGGGTTTTTTCCTACATCCCACTGCTTGCATGCTCAGGGTTCCTCTGTTAGCTAGCCCTCCTCATCCTCATGGACGCGTGAATTCCTCTGGCTGGGAATGCTGAGTGTCCTGGCAGAGCAAACCAGGTTCAAGGGCTGGTCAAATGCTGCAAATTTTCCTGCGCTGAAGCTCTGCTTTTCTGCTCTGGACTTCTCGCTTCTTTTAATTCCGCCGTTGTGTTTGCGCCTCTTACCCTGCACTTATAGGTGCAGAGTTTGTCATCTTTCCTTTCTGGGAGCCGTGTCTGGGAGCGTGCCTGGAGCTGCGCCTCCCCCGTGCCGCCTGCGGGAGGAAGCGGGATGCCATCCCTGCTCCGTGTCCCTCCCCTCCAGCTGCAGCAGCGCCGAGCGTGGAGTTCACCGAAGGGACAGCAGCCAGGATCCAACTGCAGCCTCCTCTTTTCTTATTTATAAGTGCAAGCAAACAGGTGCTAAAAGCTTTTACCTTGCGTGGCACAGCCAGGCTCTCTCCCCCAAAGCTGCTTCTGCAAGGGCTTGATTTACCTGCTCGTCTTCCCATCTGCCCTCCTTCATTTCAGCTAAGGTTTGGGGCTGGAAGGAATGAGTGGAGCCATCCTTGAGCTTTCTGCAGGTGAGGTGGGGGTTGGAGATTCCCATGGTCACTTTGGATATTGGTTTTTTTCCATGGAGTGCTGTCTGGTATCCAGAGTCCTCTTTTTTCTTCTCTGTGAATCTCTGCTTCAGTGGTCTTGGTTCATTCCCCCATTCCAGTTGTGTGTGTGGATCCTACAGTTACCAATCTGCTGCTTTGGAAGTGTGATTCCTTAACCTTTCTGCTCCAGAATAACCCAGGAGGCTTCATAAATTCCTTCATCCTCCAATTCTGGCTGTTCCTGGTGCATTTTTAAGCAGGCAGCTTGTAGATGTGCTCTCTGGCAAAGTCTACTTTGTGGTAAAGCAAAACCTCATCACCAGTGCTGTCACTGGAGAAAAATGTATTCATTATTATTATTCTTATTATTATTTTTAGGAAAGATGCGATCTCACCTCATGCATAAAATTAGTTTAATGGAACAGCAGGCATGGGAGGGAATATTGGCTTTCCTGTGCTTGTCTGGGGAGTGAGTGAACAATTTCTTTGCTCCCTCTCAGGCCCTGGATGAATGATACGTCATTGGAGCCACAGTTTTAGCTGAGGAGTGTCCATGAAGGCAGCAGGGAACCAAAAAGCAGGTTTTAAAAATTACTTAAATGAAGAAAAAGGAATTGGTGAGCTTCTAAACACTGCCATCAAGCAGCCAGTGAGGCTGAGAGCTGAGTCACTTAGGGAGAGAGAAATAGAGGCAGCAGATGCATTTGTGTCTTGTAAATCCTCGAATAAAGGGGTTCCATCCCATCTTTGAGTGGAGGGGCCAAGGGCCACCAGGTCTTGCACGTCCCACGATCTTCCCATGCCTCTCCCAAGGTTATTCCTGCTGCTTTTAGCTGCCCCAAGGAACACAGGCAGCAGGCACTGTGTTGGTAGTGCTGTCAAAGTGCACTTGTGCCTTGCCTGCCCCTCAAAAGCTTCTTCTTTCACTTCACTCGCTGGGAATTGGCAAGGAGAGATGAGGATAGAAGTGCTAATGTCATCTCAGGGCATCTGAACGCTGGTGATGGCAGCGTGTGCAGCAGCTCCCGTCCCCTCCAGCAGTCCCACACAGCCTCGTCCTGGGGTTTATTTCCCCTCAGAACTCCAGGTTATCTCGGGGAGAGCTTTTCCTCACTGAAAAGTGAACTTCAGTGAATATCTCCCTCTCTTGTGGAAGCAAGGAATTTGTGGAAATTTCAAACCAGAAACTCTTCGAGGATCTTCCCTCTTTGTTTGGTGGGATATCCCGGTCTAAAAGCTGCTGAGCACAGGGCTTGTCACAGCTTCTGGCACTGTGATTTGGGTGGGACCAAGCCCTTCACTCAAAGATGAGAAAAGGAGCTCTCCCCTCCTTTCCTGAGGTCCTGCTGATTCCTGGTGTTGTCTTTTCAAGCTTCGGTAAAACGGGTCCACTAGAATTAGGGGTTCTCTGAGTGAGAAGGATCAAAGGATGAGTTGGGAGAGGAAAAAAAGTGTGGGAAGGAGGAGGTTGCAGGCAAACTCATCTAATTTCCACCAATAGGTGTGAGTCAAGCCTGGGGCTCTTGCCTGTCTCCCAGTTCCTTCCTTCCCTTGCAGTTTGTACGGGCTGTTTGCACGTTTTCCTCCTCCACCACTCTTCCCTCTTGGGCTGCAGGAGATGGACACTTTTTAAAATGCAAGGTGAGGGTTTTGTTTTTTTTTTTTTTTTTTCAGCTCATCAAATGCTCTCTGGTGGCACCAGGGCTCTGAGAAAGCCTAAAAGACTTTGGAGGCTGTGTGCAGTCTCATTCCCTTCGGGTGCCAACCCCCAGCATCCCTCCTCCAGCAACTTCACTTGGTTGTGATGGATTTCCAACATCTCCTCGCCCTCGGGCTCCTGCAGCTCCCTCAGCACCGCTCACTGCTTCTGACTCCACTCCCTGTCCTCCTTCCAAGTCGTCTTTGGGCCACCTCCACATCTACTTTGCATTGCAGTGGCAGGGGACAAAATCTATCCTGGTGCCTGGAAGGAAGGGAAAACACGGCCACGAAGGAGCTTCCTGTGCTCTGTGTGTGAAAATGTCCCCCTTGCCACACGAAAAAAAGATATAAAAATTGCTTTTTAACCTGCTTGTCTTCCTTCTCCCCTTGGTCTTTGCTGAGATGATGGAAGCATTGATCCAGCTTGCTCTGACCCTGGTGCCGTGCTGTCAGCATTCAGGTTGTCTCCTGAGCTCCTCTAAGCCAGGATCACAGGCCAGATTAAACTGGTAGAAAACCTTGCAGCTTTTGGGGGGACATTCCCAGAGAGTACAGGGACTTATTAGTGACAGAGGATCTTGAGGAGAGCAGGCTTTGCTGGGAGATTTTATCTGTTTTTATAGCTGGTGCCGGTGGATTTTTCTGTGATAAAAGCTGTAAACACCACAAAAGTCAGAATGCTCCTCCTTGGCTTGCAATAATCACCTCCTAGCTCTGAACCAGCAGAGTTAACAGGACCCTACCCCAAAGCAATAGGACTTGCTGCAAGGGTGGCAGAGGTCAGGCTCTGCTTGCAGGTGATAAGAGAGTTTAGCCTTGAACCAATTCCTTTGGAGGGAGCAAAAAGGAGGTGCTGGGGGTGCCCCTCAGGGGAGGAATTTGGAGTTAAGCAGCCCCTTAATGCACATCAGAGAATCCACCTCCTCCAGTCTCTCGTTTTTTGGAGACTGTTTTCCTTGCTCCTGCAAAGAAAGTGGACGTTGCTCTTTTAATGCCTTTCAATATTATCTGCTCGGTGTGGTTTTACTTGGCAGGAGCATCGTCTTTTTTTGTTATCCATCCTTTAAACTGTTTTTGAGCAGGAAAACACTTCCCCCAAAGGTTACTTAAAGAGTTTCTGTCCAAATAGTGACAACGATGGCACTTGGGGGTTGTGCATCGATCCCCAAAGGCAAACAAACAGCCCCAGCTTAAATCCTACACCAACTATAAACCTTACGCTTTTTAATTGGGAAATTGATTTTAAATCCAAGCCTCTTGAAAAATCTAATTATTTTCCTTTACAAAAAAAATGAAATGAAAATAGGAAGAGTCTTTCTCTCTGTCATGCTCCACCAGGCGAAAGAAAGTGAGGAGGAAATAATTCTTGGCTGCTTCTCTGCAGGGTACCCTGGTGATAACCTGGATAATACAATCTGATTTTGGCCTTGAGTCTGTTCCCTTGGATTATCGCATTTCTTCAAGGACCAAAAGCTGTGCTGGTGATTCAGACCTGGAGGAGAATGTCTTTTTTAGTGGTAAGACTTCAGGTTTTTTGGTTTTGTTTTTGTTTTTTTTTTTCCCCCAGCCATCAAAGGCCAGAGAGGAGGCTTTTATCATGTGGCTGCTTTATAGAGAACAAATTGTGGCCATCCTGACCAAAGCCCAGCTCTCCATCCTTCCTTCTTGGAATCCTTCCTGGAATCCTTTCCCTTTCCCTTTCCCTTTCCCTTTCCCTTTCCCTTTCCCTTTCCCTTTCCCTTTCCCTTTCCCTTTCCCTTTCCCTTTCCCTTTCCCTTTCCCTTTCCCTTTCCCTTTCCCTTTCCCTTTCCCTTTCCCTCCTTGGAAGATTCAGCTTATTGGGCTAAAAGGGAGAGAAAAGTGAAGGGAAAAGAGGTGAAAGAAAATCCCACCTTTGGAGAGAGGGTGCCTGTATCACCTGCCCTGAAAGGAAAGGTGGATTTGGAGAGGAGGATGTGTGTGGGTGTAAAATCTGAGCTGTGCCACACTGAATGAATCCATCAGGATCCATGCTGGATGTGAAATCTGGGTGTGTAGCCATTTCCCACACTTCTATTTAAGTAGGATCTACTTTGTCCAACAGAAGGGTTGAAATCCCAACTCTCGTGTGCCCAAGTCCTTTCTGTTTTAATCTTTATGACTGGGTTTTGTGGCTCTCACTGCAGGACTCTGTTCAGGAGCCTTCACCTGGGGAGGTGAAGCACTCTTGGCTTTTTTTCTCTGTGCTTTGGCATAGCTGCAGCTGGTTTTCCTCCAGGCAAGGGAAGGAGGTGTGCTGCCTTGTCTCTGCATCCACTGAAGGGTGCAGGAGTCCACATCCCACGTCTCTCCTGTGGCAGAGGGGATTTCTTTCCCTCCCTGGTCCAGGTGAGGGCTTTCTCCTGGAAGCCTGGGTGCTGAGGGATGCTGGAGCAGAGGGATGCCAGCTGGCCTGCTTCCATCAGCCTCCCTCCCTCCCTTCACACGCACCCGCAGCCACCTCGGAGCCGGGCTTGTTTATAGAAACACTGTCAAGCAAAAAAAAGTCTTCCCAATAGCTCCGAGGAGAGGGACGTTTTCAGCTACTCAGTCACCCTCAAACTGCGAAGACGCGACGTATCAGCTGCATAAAATTAATTTATTTAGTTAAGGGAGGCGTTAATTAAGAGATCTCATTTATTGTGTTTCTGCAGACAGCTCTCGAGGGCCTTTTGAATTGTCAGCTCTGGTGACAGCAGAAGCTAATGGTGTCAGGAATCGGTAGTGGCAGGATTCGTGCCCAGATGGTGGAAGGGGCTGAGAAAGGAGTGATGGAGACGTGGCAGAGGCTTGGGCACACACAGCTGGGGGCTGAGGAGGTGCTCTGCCCTTCCTTAGACTCCCCCACCCAGTGAATTCTGGCAAAGGGAAAGGCTCTGGCTGAAGGTGGCTGCAGGAAAAGCCCAGGGTTTGGCAGAGCAGCTTAGCAAACCCACGGACGCCAGGACACGTGCAGCCAAAAATGTGTTTGTGTGGATCGACTTAAAATAACCGACTGTCCATGTGAGCTGAACTGGAAAAGAATCTCTGATTTATTTCAAATAATCAGCTTTTTCTGCACTCAGAAAGGTTAATTCTCCTTGGTTAATCAGGATGTGTCAATCTGACAACCAAGTGCAGGCCTAACACGAAACTTGTGGGTTTAAATTTGAAGTGTCTTAGAAAATAACAAATACGTTTTATCCGAAAGAATTACATGCTCCAGTACAGCTGTTTATAGGCATCTCCTTTAGGAAAAGCTGCACCAACACTTTTCCCCCCACTTTTTTTATCTTCTTATCATCTTTATCAAGTTGCTTTTGGAGGGAAATTGAAATTCTCTTGATGCAGAAAATAGGCCAAGAGGAAAGAAAATCATACAAAATAGCAGAGTGCTGATCTCGGTGAGGCTGCCATCTCCCAGGCAAAGAGGTTTTGTGTTTTGAGGTTTGTTAAACAAAGGAGGCCTTGCCTGTGCTTAGGAAATCAGCCCTGGCTCTTCTGGGCTTTGCTCCTTGTGCATCCTCCAAGCTCACTCATTTAAACCCAGGGTGCACTTCAGCCTCCTATAGGCTACCATGACTTTAACCTTGGTTTATTTATTATTTTTTAGCATGGTTTTTAATGTGTCTGGGATGGCAGTGGCTGTGCAGCTTGGCTGAACCCCTAGCCCTGCCTCTCTCCAGGTGATCCCTGGAGAAAATTGTCCAGGGGGAATGAGGTTTTGGGGGGATTTCTGCTGGGTTGGATTTTGTCGTGCTCAGCTGCTCCAGGAGTGGCTTGAAAAACAGGGAAGGCATTTTTCCAAGCAGACCCTGAGGGGTTTTCAGTCCAAAAGAATCACTGGGAGCTCACCTTGTGCCAAGGGCTTGGTGTCCCCAGGGACAGGCTGCATTTTCCTGTCTACCTCTCAGAGGAGAAAGAAACCTTGCCTTGCCCTTGGCTCCCATCACAAAAGCTTTGTGATCTTCAGGCAGAGCTGAGCAGGAATGGAAAATGGTGAGAGATGGAGCTTTTAGCTTTTGATTTAACCCTGAAGCGACAGCAGGGCTTTCCTGTGCTGGGAGCTGTAGGGAGAAAAAGTTTTTTTCCCTATGGGAGTTGCATGTCCAACAGATTTTTGTCTTGGGTCTGTCTCCTCTGAAGCCTCACAGGGTCTGACCGAGGCTTTTCCTGCAGCAGCACAGTGTGGATTTTCCACTGCTTTACTACCATGGTTGTATCCCCAGGGCTGCCTTGCCCCGTCCAGCTCAAAACTGGATCATAAAATCCAAACAGAACCATGAAACGGTTTGGAAGTGACTTTAAAGAAAATGTTGTTCCAAGCCCCGTTCTGTGAACAGGGACACTTTCCACCAGGTTCCTCAGAGTCCCCTCCAGCGTGGCCTTGAGCACTTCCAGGGATGGGCACAGCATGACCCCATTGTCCCAGCTCAGGCAAAGGATGGGAGATTGGTGGGCTGGAAGGCAGAGGAGAGTGTGGATGTGCTGCCAGAGCTGCCTGGGGAGGATTATCTCTCCTCATGGAGTGGCCATGGTGTAGACCAGAGGGAAGGGTGCTGTGGGAGGGGGCCCAGCAGAAGACAGGATCATGGGGGATTCATTTAAACCGCAGTGTCGGATCCTATAAATCCGCGGGGTTTTGCATATTTCCATATTTATATATGAAAATTCCACGAGGTGGCTTAAAGGCAACTGAAATCAAAACAGGGCTGTCAGAGCTTGAAAACCAGCAGCAAATCTCTAACAGACCATTTAGGACAAATGTGTGGGCTTGAAAAACCTCCGAGTTGGTCCCTCGGGGCACTGCAGCTCTGCTGGCCGGGAGGCTGCAGAGCAGAGGGACCTTTCAACCTGGCTCATGTCCCATGGGACGGGGACATTGGGCTGCTGGCATTTCCCTTGGGGGCTTTCCTGCTGTTTTGTGCGTGCTGTGGTGGTTTGGGAAGGGGCAGGGGGTTGATGTTGGTGGCTGCTTGCTTGTGGCTCCCCAAAGCTGCGAGGAACGCTGGCGGCAGGGCTGGAACGGTGCAGAGGAACATTTTGCACCCTGCAGGGGCTGTGAGTGTGTTCAGCCTTCCTGGTGGAAGGAAGCCTCCCTCACTTCTCCCTGTGAGTCTGTGCCCTTTTCCTTTCTGATCTTCGGTTATCAACCAGAACAAGAATTCTCCAAGCCACTGGTCTGCATCACCCTCGCTGACCTTCTGCCGCTTCATGAGTCTCTTCCCATGGATTAATTTAAAGCAGAGATTTATGCTCCCTGCCCAGGCGGGTAGAGTGGCCCTCCAGGTTGGAAAACAAACTCCTTTTAGATTGCCATGCATATCCTCATGCTGGTTTTTGAGTAACTCTAGATGTTGTGGGTCTGTGCTCCTTGCTGTAGGACCTCAATCTTTTCTGGTGTCCCCGAGCAGCCCCAAATCCCAGTGTTCTGTAACTCTTGGGGCTGGCCTGAAGATTTTATACAATCATAAAATTGTTTGGGTTGGAAGCGACCTTTAAAGGCCACCAATCCCCTGCCATGGACAGGGTTGCTCAAAGCCTCACCCAGCCTAATCTTGAATATTCCCAAGGATGGAGCATCCACTGCCTCTCTGGGACAGCTCTGATTTCACCACCTTCACGGTAAAAATTGTGCACCAAAAGGAGTTACTAAAGTGAAACTTTCCTGATGTAAGGACGAGAGCAAGCCTCTCCCTGCTCCGAGTCCTCTGTAATTTTTCCCCCTTTTCAGTGCCAGGGCAGGAGCTGGAGGCCACGGACGCCTTGTTTCAGCTGAAGTCTCCAAATCAAAAGGAAATAATTATTGGAGGAGGAGAAAGCTGGGACAAAAACAAGCTGTCAAGAAGAAGAAGAAGAAGAAGAAGTTGCTAATGTGTCTGTCATCCCTCTTCCCTCCTGGCCGGCCCCCAGAGGTGGGAGGCAGGCACTCCGTGTCTGATGGAGAGGAGGCAGGGTGTCGGTGCTCGCCTGTCAGCCTCGGCTGTCTCCAGCCATCAGCTCCCCTCTTGTGAAGACTCATCTTGCTCCCAGGCCACTTCCTCTGCTGTCCCCCAGACTGTTCTTGGGAGGGATTTGCTCCACGGGCAGTGTGATGGCGATGACTTCTCTGCACGAGCGCTTCCAGCTCCGGTTTGATGCTCTGCCCTGGACACCTCCGATCGATTTGTGTCCTAACAGAGCCTATTTCTCTTCATTACCCACCGACAGGTGTGTGGAACCAGCAGCTCACATGTTGGTGTCTGCAGTTATTAGGTTAAACAAGACAAATCCCAGCGTCAGCATTTCCCTTTTGGCTTTGCTTGGGGCTTTGCTCCTTCCCCTGCCGGGCTCCTCGTGGTGACTTTGGCACAGGGTGACATTCTTGGGAGTCTTTAAAGGGTATTTTCTGCCTGAGAAGTGACATTGCTTCCCCTCCTACTGCCAGGGTGGGGGAAGAAGCAAGGCTTGGCTGCAAAAATCCAGGGGTGTCAACATCTGGAGAGCTTTGCTTAAAGTTCTCCCCAGAGCTGTGATCCCA